TGGTGAACATACTACAAGTTGAAGACAACCCTTACCCCCATCCCCACCCCAGGTCTTGGCTTACTTATGTTGCAAATGGGACTCTGAACAAGCCTTGGGCACTCTGGTTACTCCTGTATTTGCTTCAAACCACCTGAAATGCGCTTGCCTCTTTGTCTACTTGGAGTAACCTTGGTGCCCTAAGCCAGAGCTTCAAGAACATTCCCACTTGCTGCTCACCCAAGAAGTTTTTCCTATGACCCAGACATATAGAGGTATAGAATAGACATACAAATAAGACATTTATGATAATAAATCATATTCATTTTAAATACAGCTCTTTGGTACATATAAATTATCACTTATTAAAACAAATTTGCGTACTGATAAGATAGGCCTGACAGAATTTTTACATAAAGAGTTAAAATTTTGACTGACTGCTTCATACTTCAGAACATAATGGCATCTTTGGATAGATACGTAGTGAGTTTGAGAAAAGCCTGGGCTAGATACTTTGTCATGATCAATTAATAAACAACATTTTAACTTTCTTTTTCTCTTTCTTTTCTTTTTTCTTTTCTTTTTTTCCTTTTTCTGTGACAGGATGTCTCTGTGTAACAGCCTTGACTGTCTTGGAACTCACTTTGTAGACCAGGCTACCCTCAAACTCACAGAGATCCACCTCCCTCTGCCTCTCATGTGCTGGGACACATACATTGCATGGTTTTGCTTCCCATAACTGGACCATTATGTTTGTATATGAATAAGAAAACTTGCCTGGCAGTGTTGGTGACCCAAGTCTTTAATCCCCACTCTTGGGAGGCAGAGGCAAGCAGATCTCTGAGTTCGAGACCAGTCTAGTGTACAGAGCTGGACAGCCAGGGTTACACAGAGAAACCTTGTCTCAAAAAAAAAAAAAAAAAAGAAAAAAACAAGAGCAAAAGCTTATTATGTAGAGAACAAACACTGTAATCTAAACATTAACTAGTCTGGAATCGGAACTGATGTGTTTCAGTAGTGTGTGTCAGTGGTGCTGACATGCCAGCATGCATGGTGTAAAGAGTAATCCTCTCTCGAAAAACCAATAAATAAATAAAATTGAATGTGAATTTTAACTATATAAATTCATAAAGTTGTGTAGTCTTTGGATCTAGTTAATTTCCCTTTTTTTCTGTTTCTGTGCGTTTGTTTTGTTTTGTTTTCTACACAAGGTTTCTCTGAGTAACTGCCCTAGCTGTCCTGGAACTAGCTCTGTAGACCAACCTTGAGCTCAGGGAGATGGCTTGCCTCTGCCTCCTGAGAGCTGGGATTAAAGGCATGTGCCACCACTGCCCAGTGATTTCCTTTATTTTTAACATAGAGCCTCTCCCTGACGCTAAAGCCACTGACTATGTGTAAACTAGCCACGGAACTTCCAGATGACTGTCTGTGTTAAACAGCCACCAGGCTTTAGGGGTCTGTTCATCTCTGCCCACCTAACACGGAGGTCACTGCGTACACCTCCACCTCTGGCTTTTGTGTTCTGGGGATCTGAACTCAGGACCTCATGCTTTCGGAATAGCCAGCTTACCAACTAAGCCATCTCTCCAACCCTTGAATTTATTTTAGAATAATCACGGTGATGAACTCTCCCCTACCTTCCTCTCCTCTGTCCCTCCCCCATCTCCCTTCTTTCTCCCTCTCCCTCTTACAATTTTCAGCCTAATCATGGCTAACTCTGTTATTCAGCGACTTATTATCCAAGCCCACTGTGAGTCGTTATTCAGTCTGCAGGGGAAACAGCGATGCTGCTCCTTCGATTTAACACTTCCCTAGTTCATTTAATTAGCAATAAGTTTGGCAAAACGGTGGAACTTGTGGGGTCCTGGCTGCTGGCTGGGGAGGTAGGAGACTGTGCGCTGCTCTTGAAAAGATGGGCAAAGTCTTGATAGAGCGAGGAAAGCAACAGAGGACGCTATCAGTGCACTGGATAGAACTTCTGTTGAGGCCAAGGAAACTTCAAAAGCAAAAGACTGGAGATTACATCAAAGGGGAAGCACCTTAAGGACCACTTAGTAAGCACCTGTGCTGCAAGCCAGTTGCTACCAGCTGCAAAGTAAAAAAAAAAAAAAAAAAAATTGAGGCATGGTTTTCACTATGTACCATTGAATGGCATGAAGTCTGCTCTATGTAGACCAGGCTGGCCTCAAACTCACAGAGATAGGCCTACCTCTACTTTTCAGTGCTGGGATTAAAGGCATGTGCCAACATGCCTTTAACCTTATTTCTTATGTCTTCCATGCACATACATATACATAAGAATTTGTATATCCAAGATAATCTTAGTGTACCTGCCTTTGATAATTCAGCTTTCTTTTTTTCAGTGTTGAGGATCGAACCCAGGGCCTCGAACATGTTGAGCCAATTCTCTGCCTCTGGGCTCCATCCTCAGTCCTCTTTGTACTTGTCTTATCTATCTCTTAGATAGCGGCACACTAAGTTGTCCAGGCTAGCCTTGAACTCTTTCTAGTCCCAGCTGACTTCAGATTTGTTTAGTGGTCAGTGATTCTCAGCCTGTGGGTCATGACCCCTTTGGGGTCGCATATCAGATATTTACATTATGATTCATAACCGTAGCAAAATTATAGTTATAAAATAGCAACGAAATAACTTTATGTTTGTCAGTCACCACACGAGGAGCTATATTAAAGGGTGGTAACATTAAGAAGGTTGGGGACCACTGATCTATATAGTCCTTAAACTTGCGGTCCTCCTGCCTCATCTTCCTAAGTAACGGGGATGGCAGAAATGTGTCACCAGGCCTGGCTAATAATTCAACTTCTATGGAGGAACATGTCCTTTTCCAAGAAGGTTTGCGCCATTCCACTGTGTTAGGAGCAAGCTTTCCAATGGGTACTGATGTGGCGCTCTCTCTCTCTCTCTCTCTCTCTCTCTGTGTGTGTGTGTGTGTGTGTGTGTCCCTTTTCACAAACCGAGGCAGTAGCTCAGGGCTGGGATAACAATCCTGCTTGCAAAGTCAACATCACTCATCTTTGGCCTTTTGACAGTTTGCTTTGCCAATGGCAAAAGAGCTAGAGTTTTAGGCTGGAGAGATGGCTCAGTGGTTAAGAGCACTGCCTGCTCTTCCAAAGGTCCTAAGTTCAATTCCCGGCAACCACATGGTGGCTCACAACCATCTGTAATGAGGTCTGGTGCCCTCTTCTGGTCTGCAGGCATACATGCAGAAAGAATATTGTATACATAATAAATAAATAAATAAATAAATAAATGAGCTAGAGTTTCCGCAGGGGAAGAGGGGGAAGTATGAAACTTCATACAAAACAAAGCAAAAACTGTGGGAAGCGGGAGAAGGCCAGTGAATACCCAGACATGGCAAGAACTCCACAGGAGAGGAGAAGATGGAAACGGGCCCATCTGCGTGAGGGGTCCAGCAGGCTGCCTGCTCTGCTCCATACCCGGACAGATTCCATTTCCCGTGAGGTCACAAACCAGCTGCTTCAGAATCCTCAACCCATGGCCCTGTTACCCACCATGGAGTGAGCAGCCTCCTACCCATACTTCCAAGTACTTCCCCCCACAAACCAGGTTCCTCCGGTCCAGGACATCTGGGGAAGTCTCTCTTGCCACACCCGTGAGCCTTTGCCATATCATAGGCCACTGTTTCCCCCCAGCCCTTGTTGATACTTGCAGCCCTTTTTTGTACCAGTGGATGCACTGAGACCAAGGGACAGCAGTTTCCCAGTCAAACTGAAATGACTTCTCTGGGTAAGAGCTGAAGATTCCATGTCTGCCCTATCCTGGAGCCTGGTAGGCAGGGCCCTTCCTAAAGGTGTTGTTGCCACCCATACCTTCCCACCGAGAGTCAGGATAGACTTGTCCTGTGTTGAAAATCATGGCACCCTTCTCAGACAACTGCATCTGTTAATAAAATTCCTTCCGAGGGGAGAGACATCTGCACATCAGCCCCTTCCCCTAAGGTCCCAAGAACAAACCAAAGCTCCATTCAGCCACAGTGCACGCTGGCAAAGCAGTGAGTTTATTGGGTTTCCTTACAGAGCATAGCTGAGGATTTCTCCCAAGGGTGTGGGTGCTCCTTCCCCGACAGGCTGCAGCTGGAAAGCCTTGCCTAGCAAAGATTAAGGCTTCCTCACAGCCTCAAAGATGGAGCCTCCTTCCCTAGTCTTCAAGGCAAGACCTAAAGCCTCTATCCCCTCCCCGAAGCCATATGCAATTAAGGCAGCATTGCCTGCAACAGGTAGGGACAGGCTGTGTTCCAAGGGTCCTAGGGTCGTACCTAGGACCTCCATGAGGGACTGTAAGCAGTCAACAAGCCCAGCTGGGATTGTCCCTTTGCAAGCGAGTACAGCTGAACTCCCCCAAATTGCGGTTGCTTGGCTCAGAGGACAGTCTCACATGTACCACAGTGTCCGTGTATATGTGTATATCTGTGTGTGAGGTATGTGTGGGGTGCCTGTATACAGGAAGATCTGGGTGTTCTGCTCCATCCCTCTGTTTTACTTCCTTGAGCCAGGATCTCTGAACCTGGAAGTAGGCTGGAGTCCATGAAGTCCCTAAGATTCTCCAGTCTCTACTCCCCACGGAGCTGAGGTTCTAGGTCTAAGCACAACCACGTGTGGCTTTTTACTCAGGTGCTAAATATTGACCTCAAGTCTTCATGCTTACTGAGCACTGTTACTCTCTGAGCCATCCTGTTAGCCCCAAACTGTGCCTTTAAAGGAGTCTGAAAGCAATACGGTGGCAGACGGTACAAGGTGTTGGCAGACGGTACAAGGTGTTGGCAGAAGTGTGCCTCCACGTTCCGCCTGTGGCCGCTCCCATGGATGGGGGGCATTGCCCTCCAGATTTAACATCCACACCTCCCTCGGCCGTGGTAGAACCCACAAGCATCTCAGGGCCAACATCTGGCCAGTGCAGCCATCCCTGGACACTTTCTTACTCCCCTTCAGGAAAGAGTTGCCCTAAGACACCAGTAGAGAGAAACAAAGACACTCTGGGACCAGTAGCATGAAGCACATTTATTGGAGGGTTGTAGCCCCTCAGAGCCCAGCCCAGGGTGGAGGCTCAAGCCAGCCTCTTGCTTATTCGTTCATAGGTCACACCCCCACTGGTGAAGATCTGAAAGAAGCAACCAGAACAGAGAACGTCAGTGCTACTCCCCTAGACGGTGGCCCTGAGGTGATCGTGGGGTGCAGGGGAAGCAAGGTCAGCCACCATTGCTATTCCTGGGTGGATGTGAGGCAGGTGCACTGCCTTCTGGGGCTTAGATTTCCTGTCAGTTACAGGAGTCGCTGCAGAGAAAATGCTGACCAGGAGCAAGCGTGATGGGCTGCAGGAATGTCAGCCTCTATCCTGACACACACACACACACACACACACACACACACACACACACACACACACACTTTGACTACTGCATGCCAAGTCCTCTTCACAATAGTCCATCTATAGTTCCCAAGAGCCCCAGGAAGCTACTCCCATTATGCAGAGGAGCAAACTGAGGGTTGATTCAGCCTGTGAAGATGAAGCCTTGTGGACACAAAGTTTCACGTGTCCTACCCTCAGCTCTCTCTGCACACCTCAGGCCCGGGAACACTGCTTTGGAGGTCAGGACCCACTGGCTGGCATTTCATTCAAAACTCCCATTAAATCTTCCAACGGGCCAGTGTTCATCCAGAGCAGATGATACTTTTATTCTTTGTGTGTGTGTGTGTCGGGGGGGGGGGTGCCTGTGCCACAGTTTGCACGCGGGGGTGAGGAGACAACTTGGGGGAGTTAGTTCTCTCCGTCCATCACGTGGGTGGCAGGAATCGCACTTAGATGGTCAGACTTTGTAGCAAGCAATTTACCCTTTGGCTCACCTTTGTTTTAACAGTGCTACGTCTATTTTCCAATTCTTATTGTATCAGTTCAATAGTGTTGATTTTGGCAGTACCAAGGGTTGAACCTAGAACCTCATTCAGGTAGGCATGCAATTTCCACGAAAATATATGCCTGGCTGTGCAAGTGTGTGTGTGTGTGTGTGTGTGTGTGTGTGTGTGTGTGTGCACGCGTGCATTTTGAGGGATCAGTGTCTCACTCTAGTCCAGGCTGACCTGGAACTCAGGATCCTTCTGGCCTGTAGAGTGTAGAGATCACAGGCATTTGCCACCATGATCAGATGTATTTTAATTCTATGAGAAAGAAACATGGCAGGCTGGCAGAGAGACCCACTGGTCTTTGAGAAAAGGCTGAGAACTTCCTCTAGAAATCAGCTGACACATTCTGCCTCTACAGTGTACTAGCTGCGTGACCTCAGGCAGGTTGCGTGCCGTCTCTGAGCCCCATAAAGCACCTTTTTAAAACAGAAATAATATGAGGTTAGAGAGATGGCTTAGCTGTTGGGAGCACTGACTGCTCTTCTAGAGGGCCCAGGTTCAATTCCCAGCACCCACATGGCAGCTCACAACTGTCTGTAACTTCAAGATCTGACATTCACACATAGACATGCATGCAGACAAAACTCTAATACACATAAAATAAAAACTAAATAAATGATAAAATGGAATTAATAGGAAACTCTGCAAACTCACCTCTACCAGCTTGTCACCCACGATCTCTGAGGTCTGGTGAAAGTTGGGCAAGTCTACCACCACCTTCCCGTTCTCCAGCTTCAGAGTAGCCTGGAAGAGAGACAGGGCACTGAACACAAAGCCTCTCAGCACAGCCTAACAAGTCTTTAGGCATCACTTAGGTTATTTTAAAAATAGCACGTGGGCCAGGTGGTGATGATGCATGCCTTTAATCCCAGCACTAAGGCAGCAGAGGCAGTTGGGTCTATGTGAGTTCAAGGCCAGCCTGGTCTACAGCATGAGTTCCAGAACAGCTAGGACTATTAACAGAGAAACCCTGTCTCGAAAAATAAAAAAAAAATAGAAAATAAATAAATAATATATGTAGGACTGATTCAGTTGGCAGAGTGCTTTCCTACCACACACAGAGGTCTCAAAAACAAAGGGAAAGGAGAAAATAGCTGGTGAGATGGCTCAGTGGGCAAAGGGGCTAGAGTGTGGATCCTCAGCACTCATACATGACAGCGTATGCTGACAGCTGCATCCCCATACCACACCCCCCTCACTGGGGGACAGAGACAGGCAGAGCCCAAGGGCCTACTGGTCAGCCAGTCGAGCAGGATTGCAAAGCACCAGGCTCAGCGAGAGATCCTGCCTCAAAAAGCAAGGTGGAGAGTGTTAAAGAGAATAGAACCCTGATACGAACCTCTGGTTTTCATACACACATGCACAGCCGAGTATACATACATGTATATGTGCATACACAATAGATAGATAGATAGATAGATAGATAGATAGATAGATAGATAGATAGAGATAGATTAGATAGATGATAGGTAGATAGATAGATAGATAAGTAGGTAGATAGATAGATAGATAGATGATAGGTAGATAGATAGATAGATAATGATAGATAGATTAGATAGATAGATGATAGATAGATGACAGACAGATGATAGATAGATAGATAGATAGATAGATAGATAGATAGATAGATAGATAGATAGACAGACAGATAGAACAACTATTCAGTAAATATCTGAAGTGAATTATGTTAAATATTCAGCAAATATTAGGTTTTCTTTCTTCCTTCCTTCCTTTCTTCCTCTCTTTCTTTCTTTCTTTCTTTCTTTCTTTCTTTCTTCCTTTCTTTCTTTCGTCCTTTCTTTCTTTTTTAGGATGGGGCCAGTATTGAGACAGGGTTTTTCTGTTATAGCTCTGGCTTTCCTATAACTCACTCTGTAGATCAGACTGGCCTCGAACTCACAGAGATCTGCTTGCCTCTGCCTCCCAAGTCCTAGGATGAAAGGCATGCACCACTACTCCCCGGCTAGCTTTTTCTTTTTGAGAAGAGGTCTCACTAGGCATAGGCAGCCTTGGCTGGCTCAGAACTCACAGAGACAGCCCGCTTCTGCCTCCTAAGTGCTGTAACTTGCACCATGCACCATGCTCAGAAAATAGACTATTTTTTGTTTTTTGAGTTCTGAGGTTGTTTGTCTGAGACAGCATCTTTCTATGTAGCCTTCGCTGATCTGGAACTCACAGAGAACCTCTTGTCTCTGCCACCTGAGTGCTGGGATTAATGACGTGTACCCCACCAGCACATCAGCTATTTGTATCTCTGTGTTGGGTTCCTAACTAATGACAGCCATTACCCAGCAGAAGCATTAAAAACACAAGAAAGAAAGTTTTTTACACAGAAGGCTAAGCTATAAACAGAAGCCTCAGCCTGAGGAGCGGAGAGGCCATATCTGAAATGGAGAAACTGGTCTTTAGCCTGGGAAGACAGGAAAGGGCAGTCAGGGGCCTCTCACCTTGAACTTCTTGCCTCCCACGGTCTGAATTTCACTTTCTTTGCCAATGGTGAACTTGTTGGTCATGATGTTGGTCCCAGAGTAAGACTGGATCCAGGTGAAGTCCTGTCCATTCTGCTGGATCTCTGTGGTGATCTTTAGGTTCCGTGCCTTTGTAGTCACGTCTTCTGAAACACCTGTGCCCCGCCACAAGCAAAGAGTTCACATAGGATCTACTTATCACCCTGATTTGGAGAGAGAGGTTTCCTTCCCAGAGGCAGGCAAGTCTGCAGGACCAATAGAGTGTCTGAGACATAGATAGCCGATGGTTCAAATCCCAACTCTGCCCTGAGACCTGTGGCTTGAGCAGGTCACTACCCCACTGCTTTCCTTTACAAAATGATGACAGTAAGGTCTGACCCTTGGAGCTGTTGTGAGAGCTGAATCCAATGTGGTTGTGTCTCTCACAGCCCCTCACAACTACTTGGTATTCTTCAATAACAGCAAATCTTGAGGAGATGGCTCAGCAGTTACGAGCACGTGTGGCTTTTCTTGTCAAACCTGGTTTTTATATTACCTCCCTGGTCATCTCTCCCTGGCAGGATATAGTGACAGCTCTCAAGAGAGGGTCCTGGGTGTTAATGACCTCTGTCACTGACTTAGGTCGATCATGCCGAGGTGCCACGTCAAGAATATTGGGACAACCTTTGCGTGTAGCACATGTTCAATAAGTTTGAGTGGGGCTAGGAATGTGTCTCAGTTGACACAGCGATTGCCTCGCATACATGAAACCTCAGGTTTGATCCCCAGGACTACATAAAATAAGCATGCACATGCCTGTAATCCTGGCACTTAGAAAGAGAGGCAGAAGGTGCAGAATTTCAAAGTCATCCTCAGTTACAAAGTGATTTTGAGGCCAGCTTGGGCTACATGAGACCCTGTCTCTAGTAACAACAACAAACATTTGAATAACTAAAGATCAAATCTCTGCTTCACCAATCACAACTCTGTGACTTGGAATATTAACGTAACTTGGTTGAGCCTCAAGTTCAAAATGGAGATAAGAAGGTACTAGAAATACTAAGATTCTAAGCCTTTTAAAAAAATTAAACAATGTCTAACAGCTTCAATATTCTTAGAGACAGGACAGAATGCTCTGCAAAAGTGTGGATGGATGGATGGACGGGTGAATGGATGGATGGATGGATGGATGGATGGATGGATGGATGGATGGATGGATAAATGGATGGATGGATGGAATTCTATCCCACTCTTCCCCAAAGGCTTGGGTTCAAGCAGCCAGCCCCAGGAAAGAGATACGAAGAAACTCACCCAGGCCCTTCATGAACTCGTCATAGTTCTTCTCACTCTCAAATTCAAATTTGCCACTGAAAGCCATGATGCTGGGAGAGAGCTGGCCGCAGAGAGCAGTGAGCTGAGGAAGAAGGTTGGTACTGAGGAGTCTGGAGTCTCCGTTTATAAATGCTCCCAACTGCCAAGGTTCAGCCCCAAAGTCACCCCACTCCTCAGACCTGCCCCTAATTAGGAGGTGTTTGCTGTTTTATGATGTGGGCAGGAGGTGGAGGAGCAGAACCCAAAGGTTATTCACCCAGGAAAAACCACCTGCAATCCCACTGCTTCTCAGCAAGGTTAGGGTCAGGACTGCCATAGAGCGTGGTCATTCACCTCTCTGCTCATCCCACCCTCCACGCATCCCTGCCCTGCCCTTTCCTCATCCTGCTTTCACTTGTTCTTCCATTCACCAAGCACTGCATTGCTCTGGATGTCGTGACCCAGAAGAACGAGGCGTGCATCTTTTCCATGGAGCACCCAGGCCAACCTAGACCCAAAGCATTTATGGGCAGTGTGTGAGCTCGATGTGATCTGTGCCTCTTTACACGTGGAAGTCCCAGGCTTTGGGGTGACAGCTGCCTGCTTTGCTTATTGGTTAGCTTCTTGGGCCACACAGGGATAGCAATGCAAAGTAGCTACAAAGGCCCTCACCAGCATCTTCATCATCAGCATCCTCATCATCAGCATCTTCGTCATTCCTGCTGTTGAATATCGGCTGGGCATTGGGACTCCATCAATAGCCCTAGTACTTGAGAGGCTGAGGCAGGAGGATTGCCATAAGACCAAGGACAGCATGGACTGCAGAACAAGGTCCTGTTTCAGAAACAAACCAAAAGCGAACAAATAAAAACTCCCCTTTTCTGGGGTCTCCTCTCTATAAGCCCCCATCATTTCTGTTCAAAGCAGAATTAGCCACAGTTGCCGACTCCCAAACTCGAGACTGATTTCTCTTTCTTTTGTGTCTCTCTCTGTCTCCTCCCCCATACCACCCCTCTTTTTCACACCACCATACCCCCCCCCTTTTTTTTGAGACAGGGTTTCTCAGTGCAGCCTTGGCTGTCCTGGAACTTGTTCTGTAGACCAGGCTGGCCTCAAACTCACAGATCTCCCTTTCTTTTGAGTTTGTGTTTGTTCCTATATGCCCCGTGTGTGTGTGTGTGTGTGTGTGTGTGTGTGTGTGTGAGAGAGAGAGAGAGAGAGAGAGAGAGAGAGAGAGAGAGAGAGCAGGTCAGAAGGTAATTTTCAGAAATGGGTTCTCTGTCTCCATCATGTGGGGCACAGAGATTGAGTTCTGGTGAAGCCTGGCAGCAAGTGCCTTTCTCTGTTGAGCCATCTTACGGACCGCAGTACTTTCTAAATTGATAAAAGTCAGCTCTGCCACACACTTCAGTCTCCAATCCTAGAAACTGGACAATGAGTTTTTCCTCTCTCTCTCTCTTTCTCTCTCTCTCTCTCTCTTCTCTCTTCTCTCTTCTCTTTTCTCTCTTTCTCCCTTTTTGAGACAGAGTCTCAAGTAGGACAGATAGGCCTCAAACTCCCTGTGAAGTCTAGGAGAACCTTAAACTCCTGATCCTCCTGCCTTACCCTCCCAAGAAGTGGAACTTCAGGCAAGCGCCAATACATTTGATGTTTATTATCACCTTAAATTGCTCAGTGGTAGAGAGCTTGCCTAGCATGGGCATGATCTTGGGATCTATCCACAGCACCACACTCAGTAGTCTATGTTCTAGTCTATGTTAATTTACTTTCTACCTGGATCTTTGGGTTATTTCCAGTTCTTTTCTGCTATAATTAATCAATTATTCCTGACATCTCTCTGGTGTGTATATATCTCAGATAATGAGCAGGACTATCTGCTAAGGATGGATTCCTAAGCAAGAAAGAGGCCCTGTGACTGGGGAAAAAGTCACACGGGCTTCCAAGGGAGACAATAGAGCAACATGGGAGGGAGAAATACTGGGATTAAAGGGTACAGTGGGGAGGAGGATGAAAGGGATGAGGGGAGAGCTGGGGGAGAGGTGGGGAAAACCAATCAAACTGAGATACATATGAACACTCCATATGTTGCACAGGACCCTTATTGTTTTTGTACAACAAATAGAAAAAAATAAAGGGCTAGATTACTAAACATAATATTCCCGGAAGAAACAAGTCTGAGACAAGGTACCACTATGTAGATTAGGCTTGAACTCAGAGATTTGCCTACCTCTGACTCCCGGGACTGGGCTTAGAGGTATATGCCACCACACCACACACAAAAAAAGGTCTTATATTTAAAATATATTTCAAAGGGCGTTGTGGTGTGTGCTTGTAATCTTAGTACTTGGGACTAAGATCTGAGACTGAGGCAGGAGGTTTATCCAGAATTCCAGGACAGTTGGTGCTACAGAGTGAGACACTGCCTTAGAAAAATAATAATAATTCATTAATTTAAGAAATAGTAAAATAGGGCCACCAAGCCTGATAGCCTGAGTTCAATCCCCAGGACCCTCCTGATAGGAAGAGAGAACGAACGCCAGCAAAGTTGCCCTTTGACACACATGTGCTGTGGCATAGGTCCACACACACACACACACACACACACACACACACACACACAAAATAAGTAAGTACAAGATAATGATTTTTTTAAAGAATAATAAAGTATTTATAGCTATCGCTGCCATTCAGAAAGGCTAGAATGGTTTACATTTTCTCCCACAGCCATGTGAGAATTTCTCCTCCAGAGTAATAATAATGAAGAAATAACAATGACAGTAATAGCTAATAGGTCTGGGGCCTTTCTGGTTGACCTCATTCATTGATTCTTCCCAAACAAGTGTGTGAAGTTGCAAACCAACATTCAGAGCAGCAGTGCCGGAAGACCTGGGTGAGAAGCCAGCAGGACAGACCTATGGCCTCTCTGGCCCCCACTTAGCTCCCGCCCCACCAACTTCTCCCAAACTGCTGCTCAGCCGCCAAGGACAGGATGGGAGTGGTGAGGGGTGGAAAGGACCGAGTTGGCACTCGGGTGCCTGACTCAGCTCTACCCTCTTCCCATGATGCATCTGACCCACCCCTTCCATCCACCCACACCCGTCTCTTTTCTCTTATTGTGGGGTTCATCCGCTTGAACATTCAGCCTCCCAGGAAGGGTAAATGAACTCCAACCGCAGGTTTTATGGGGCCATTGAACCAGTGGTGCAAATATACCCCCGTGGAGATAAGAACGAGTCGAAGGCTACTCCTTTTGGACACCCCAACTTCCCACCTGGACTCTGGCTGTGTCTCAGACAGCCACCGTTTCCTGAGAATATGCAGAGTAAGGAGTGGGGACCTGGGTACTCGGGTCCCTGATCGAAGAGGAGTCCTGGGCTTCCTTCTGCGCTCCTTATCCACATCCTCACATGGATGTAAACTGTATTTACCAATTAAGTCACTCAGTTTCCTGAGCCCTGGGTTCTGTGTGAGGGAATACTGAAACAGCAGACAGTGTCTAGCAGTTTATCCCTCTTCACCCCCACTCCCACTTTATCCCTAACTTTTAGCTTACTTCCCCGTCAGGCCCTAGAACAAACCATTTTCTCCCTCAAGATTTCTCCTTTTTCTTTTTTGGGGAAGGGGAATTGTGGGGAAGAGATCTCATGTAGTCTAGGCTAGCCTCAATCTACCTGAAGATGACCTTGAACTTCTTCTGTCTCCACCTCCCCAGCGCTGGGGTTCCAAGCAGGAGCCACAACACTCAGACTGGTGCTGGGATTGAACTCATAGCTTCATGCACCCTTGGCAACACACACTCTACCAGTTGAGCTACTTCCCCAGCTCAAGAAGCTCAGGGGGGCTCTGAATAGCTCAGCTGTCCTTCCTTTTAGCAGAGCTGAGCCCACTCTCCTTGCTCATAACAACTGATGTGGATCAAACCTCATCTTCCTAGTGAACTGCCAACCACATTCCAACCAGCTGGGGCCACCCTGATCAACAGGGTGGAGAGACACAGACTGAGCCCAAAACAGCCTGGAACTGACTACGTAGCCCAGTATTATGATTTGAGTCTAGAATGTCCCCAACACACTCCCTTTTTATAATGTTTTTATTTAACCTTTGAGAATTTTATACAATAAATTTCAATTGTATTTTTCCCTCTCCAATACTCCCAGATCCCCCCCCCTCTTACTTCCCTGCTCACTCGGACACATGTCCTTTCTCTCTCTTAAAGCAAAACAAATACACACCAAAACCAACAAAACTATGGAGTCCAGTTTGTGTTACTAACTGCTCCTGGGCACAGGGTCTGCCCTGGAGCAAAGTTGTTACCTCAGTTTTACTCTACTGAGAACAGATTTTTCTCTCTTCCAGAAGCTACCGATGACAAATAGCTTCTTGGTTAAGGGTGGGACTTGGGGCCCACTTCCCGACCTCTGTGCTTGGATTTTTGCAAGGCTTTATCTTACACAGGGCTTGGGCATGCTGTTCGCAGTCTCTGTGAGCTCATATGCGCAGCAGCATGTTGTGCCTGGCAAACATAGTCCCTCTGGCTCTCCTGCATGGATCCCACACAGGCTCGCATTTGAAATACCCGGACCCCAGCTTGTGGCACAATTTTGAAGGCTTTGGAATCTTACATGCATGGAATCAGGATGGAGGAAGAAGGCCGCTGAGGAGAGGTCTTTGAAGGTTCACTATTGCTTCTGGCCTCCTTTCTCTATGTGCTGGTTGGCTCCCTGTGAGCAGCTGTGGTCACAAACAGAATAAACAGCTCCTGTCTTCATGCTCTTTCCACTGGGATGGACTGAGGCCTCAGAAACCATGCGACAAAATAACTGGATTCTACGTTATCGATTTCTCTCATGTATTTTGTAACATTGGTCAGAAAAATAACTAATATTCCGAGGCCGGATTCAAACTCATGATCCTCCTGCCTCATTCTTCCCAGTGCTGGGATTACAGGCATGTGCCACCACGCCTGGTATTTGCTGTTGTTGTGTTTTATTTTCAGATAGGATCTCACTATTTAGTCCAGGCTGGCTTTGAACTCAAAACCCTCTTGGTGCCTCAGCATCCTGGGTACTGGGATTACAGGAGTGCACCACCACACCAAGACACTGGGTTTTTGTTGCTGCTGCTGTTGTTGCTGTTTCTTTTTGGGCTTTTAGTTTTTTGAGACAGGGTGTCTCTCTGTAGTCCTGGAACTCAATGTGTAGACCAGCCTACCCTCAAACTCAGAGATCCACCAGCCTCTGCCTCTCTAGCGACTGGGATTAAAGGTGCATGCCACCGCTGCCTGGCCAAGACACTGTTTTCAACAGCCACATTGCCATTCACTGTGAAGATAACTTATTGTGCCTTAATCTACTACTATTTCAGCCAGCAATTACAGCTCCAAGGTTATTTTTACTGACTGAGGCTGCAGCTTGGCGAAATCTGTTCCCATAGGCACTGGCCCCGTCATTGCCACAAAGGTAGCTTTAGCTGAATCTCTATTGCTCTATTTATAAATAAGACTTGAGATTCAAAGGTAAGATTGAAAACCTGCAAGCTCAGGCAGAGTAGCAACTAGCTAAGCCTCTGTCATTACCGGCGTCTCCCCAAGAGAGCAGCCTTGAGCTCCACCACAGTATAAAAAGTCATGCCACTCCAAATCCGTCCCAGCCTCTTCCTGGGCATGTAACTCTCCTGGATGCCCTCTGACACTCTATGATTACTTCCTGTCAACTAGTGTTCACTCAGCCTCCTGACCCAAGGTGAGCTTTATTTAATTAACAAAAATGCAAACTCGGGATTCACAGTATGATATCCCCCCAACAATACATCACAACTTATTCACCCGAAGACTTAGCGCTGATAAGAACAATCAAAGTGTTACTGAGGACCAGGCACTGACATGGGCAGTATTATTTGAGGCACTGGGGGATGTGGCTGAACTTCTACTGGATGTCCAGGTCATTAGCTAATGGAAGTCACTAAGACCCAAAGAAGATCAAAATTCAAAGCATGAGGATAGATGTGTATCGTTCAGGGGGAGAATCTAAGGATGCTTGGCATGGCTGCAGCTGTGTCTAAATCCCTAGCACTGTACCCCCCCCGCAAAAAAAAAGCATGGTTTCTATTAAACTCACATCACATCTGCACCAAAGTCAAAACTTGTAAATTAACCTGTCATAAGCCGGCGACAGCCTAACTTAAGGAATATTACTAGCTAATAAGAAAATATGGGCTGAGAGTGGAGACACATGTCTGTAATCCCAGCACTCAAGAGGCAGAGGCAGGCAGATCTGAGAAATCAAGCCCAACCTGGTGTAGATATTGAGTTACAGGACCACCAGGGCTATATAGTGAGAGCCTGCCTTAAAGAAAGAAAAAGAGAGAAAGAAAGAAAGAAAGAAAGAAAGGAAGAAAGAAAGAAAGAAAGAAAGAGAAAGGAAAGGAAAGGAAAGGAAAGGAAAGGAAAGAAAAGAAAAGAAAAGAAAAGAAAAGAAAGGAAAAGGAAAGAAAAAGAAAGTAAATGTGGGAGAGGGGTTGGGGAGGCAGCTCAGTTGGCAGACTACTTGCCTGGCATGCACAGAGCCTTGGATTTAGCCCCTAGCACCACATTAACTAGATGTGGTAGCACATGCTGTAATCCCAGGATTCTGGAGGTAGAGGCAAGAAGATCGTAAGTTCAAGTTCATCTTTGACTACATAACAAATTAGAGGTCAATCTAGGCTACCTTGTCAAGAGAGAGAGAGAGAGAGAGAGAGAGAGAGAGAGAGAGAGAGAGAACTATTGACCTAGTGAGAGACACGTGGGTTGGGGCTGGGGGAGCCTTGATGGATAGTTCCATAGAGATTCACAGGCTGCAGGATCTTCAAAGGCCAGCTCTTTGAGGAACATGGTAGGATGATGTTGGAAGAGAACGGGTTAATACTGTGCAGGCCAGATGAATATGACTTCCCGGCTCATCAGGGTTGCGGACTACCCACCAGAGAAGACTGCTCGGACACAGGTCAGGTTGAAACCAATAGAAAGTCAGTATTAGCTGGAGGGCCACTACACTGGGTAATCGAGATCCCAGCATAGCCTCGAGTGTTTCTCTGGGTGAGCTTTTAAGAACAAAAGAAACACATCTTGGGTCGCCATACTTTGGTTAACAAGAACAGTTAGCCAGAAGCTGAACTACAGAAGTCAAAAGGCAAGGTTAGTACATTTAGAGACTTTCTTAGAACTATGGATGTTGATGGGTTAGGTCTTTGTTTTTATTTTGGCAGGTGGTACTGTCTACCTGCTGGGTTTTATGGCCTGAATGGTACTTCCACCTTGGAGTCAATTGTGCTAAGTTGGCCTGTTACAATCAGGATTGAAAGAGAAGGTGGCCTAACTCCATGTCTGTAGATCCCACCCCAAGTGTGGCTACATTCAGGAAGGAGGAGGAGGAAGAATGAAGGAGGTCTAATGACATCCAAGTAGCCTCACCTCCAAATTCACACCAAAAACAATCCAGGACTCTCACAAAAAACTGCTCGGGGCCAAAATCAGATGCCAAAAGATCTTCCCACCCTGCCCGCAATTATCCATCACCCACTTTCCTGCCGCTGGCTAACCGTGATTAATTCCTGTGGCAGCCACAGGAATCATGCCTAATGAATTTCTAATGAACTCATTTGGTGTTAATGCGGTGTGTAATTCTGCAGGACACTCATTACGACTTAGCGTTATTAAGCCTCTAGTTATTGGGAACTACTATGGCTCCAAGCTCAGAAGCAAAGACAAGTAATTACTTAATGCAGGCAGCAAAATTATGGAAAGGATCGAACATATGGAGAATGCCGAGAAGAGGCTTGGCCGTTCCTATTTTTTCTCTTTCTTTGGAGTACCTGAAGGTCAAAATGTTTGAGGGGCATTCAAAGGACTGTGTCTCCAGAAACGCCATACACGCACCCCCGACCTTGTCTTCTGCTTAGTCCTGAATCTCTAACATAAGGAAGGATGCTTTTGCATTTGAAGTGTTATTCCAGGCTGATACCAGAGTCCACAGGGCAGTCAGAGATAGTATATCTCATCTGATCATCAGAGTATATCATTTGCTGTCATTAAACCCCTTTAATAGATAAGGAGGTTGAGGTTCACATAGGTGAGGTGGCTGAGTTCCAGAGCTCACCCACTGGCGGCTACATCGAGTCTCTTTCCTGCTTGCCTCTCATTTCTTGCCAACTATGATTTTCATGTATACAGACTCATAGTTCTACCTAGAGCTAACGTTAAAGGTTGGAGCCCTTTCTAATAGTTTATCCATGTGTTTTTCTTGCCTTGCACATTATCCTACTTTTCTTTTGCTGTAACAACATAACAGAGGCTAGGTAACTTAAAAAGAAAGGAAGTCTACTTTCTTCATAATTTTGGATGGTCAAAGTTTAAATGGCATATGAAGTCTTGCAAGGGCTCCCTGACTGTATCACGTTATGGAGTAACTTCTGTGAGAGAGAGAGAGAGAGAGAGAGAGGAGTTCACATGGTATGAGGGTAATCTAGATGTAGGCATGGTAGTTCATGTCTGTAATCCAGCACTTGGAAGGCTAAAACAGGAGAATTGCTAATAGGTTCAGGCCACTCTGAACTACATAACAATATCTACCTCAAAAATATAAACAGAGCTGGGTGGTGATGACCCATACCTTTAGTCCCAGCACTTGGGACTTGTGTGGCTCACTTGGGCTTCCTCCCAACATGGCAGCCTCCGGATGGATGGACTCATTCATTCATAGATGGCTCCTTCCCGGGCTTCTTCAAGCATGGGCTCAGAAATGTCAGAGCATTGCTTCCACCACAAACGGACAAGAGGAGGATAGAAGGTTTTCTTCTTGACAGATGGTGGGAGAAATACAAGACTAGCTGGCAGCCACCTTTGGAAACTACCGCTGTGAGAATTTGTACTGGACTTCGGGGTAGCTGTCTGAGCGCACTGTGTGTCTGAAAGCATGCATCGAATGGGAGCGTGTATATGTGCATATTTCCATGTGTGTATGCACCTGTTGGCCTAACAGGCAGGTCTGTGTGTGCATGAGTGAAGACTGTGTCAGCCTAGACACAGATGTGTTCACACAGGTCTCTTCCTTGTCCTGAGCTAGGGGCTGTATTATCATGCACAGGTCTCTCTGTTGTCCTGAGCTAGGGGCTGTATCATGAGCAGAAAGGAAATGTGTGCAGGCTTAGGAGGGGAAGTTCATGGGGTTGACCCTCATTAATTGCACTTCTTGGCTGGGATCCCTGAGAGCTAGTCGTAGATAATGAAACAAACTAATCAGCAAACTAATCATTACTGGATCTTGTCCTTCCCTAGGTGGCCTTGGGTCCCCAGCCAAGTGGAAGACCCTGCCCTTGTCACCACCCATCCGAACCACCACACCAGCAGTAAAAACGGAGACGTCCACATCTCTTTCACTTCCAGAGAAACTTCCAGGCTGAACAGCCAGTGGAAAAGCTTTGCCACAGTCACCCCCTTCCTGCCCCACCCATGATGCCATCTTCCACACTCTTCTGGGAGAACAGGAAGCCAGAGCTCAAGGCTGCTTGCGGGGTGAGGCCTCCTGCCTGGGGAAGGCTTCTGCTTCATTCACCACTGTGTTCTGGAATAAGGAAACACAAGGGTGCTGGCTGTGGTTCTGCAGGCCTGCAATCCAAGTACTCGGGATCATAGGTTTGATCCTGTAGACAAACCAACTTGTCCTACAGAATGAGACCCTGGCTAAATTTGGGGAGGAGAGGCAAACAGACAATGCTTCAGCAGATAAAAGCACTCACCACCAACTCTGGCGACCTGAGTTCAATCCCCAGGCCTCACATGATAGAAGGAGAGAACAGACTGCTACGGGTTGATTTTTTTTTTATTAAAAAGAATTAAGAGGAAGAAGAGTTCAGCATTTAAGAGTGCTTGTTCTTTCGGAGATCTCAGGTTTGAGTCCCAGAACCCACATGGTGGTTCACAACCAATCTATAACTCCAGTAATTACAGTACTTGAAAGGCTACGGCAGGAGGATCACCCTAAGTTCAAGGCCATACTGGGCTACATAATGGGTCCTTGTATTTAAAAAGAAAAAACTTGATAAAAAGAGGAAAGGAGAGATACAATGGCAATTGGGAGCAGCAAAGTAGAGACTTGATCCTTGTGGGAAAGAGGGGGCATTTAATTTCATTTCTGAGACATGATCTTATGTAGCCCAGGCTGGCCTCAAATTTCCTATGTAGCTGAGGCTGGCCTTGTCCCTTCTTAGTACTAGGATTATAGGTGTGCACCACCATGTCTCGCTTTGACTATTCTGTAACAGCAAGACACACGGTAGCTGGGAACACCATGCATCGTTTTACTTCTATCTGTGAGTCTATCTGTAGGGTCAACCAGGCAAGTGGAGCAGCTAGGTCAAAGATGGCTGGCAGAGCTTCCTCTGTGAGGGTTCCATTAGTCCTCCCGCCCTTCCCCGACCTCTTCCTCCTTTCCACCTGAGCTGGGTTTGAGGGTCTCTCAGGTATGGCCTGGTCAGAATGAAGGCTAGCCCCCTCCCCCAGAGGAATCCATGACACAAAGAGATACAATGTGCCTGAGGACAGGCGTTTCTGTGCTTTGACTGGTGCCAAAAACTCTCCCCAAAAGAAGAGCCCAGAGGGGGGCATTCTGTTCCCTGTGGCTTCCACCCACAAGGAAGACATTCAGCCTAAGAGTTCAAAGATGGGGATCCATCGCAGTTCTGACACCTCAGCTGGGCAGGTGGTCTTGGCCTAGAGACTAACTCCAGGCTCAGCTCTAAGCATTTACACACGTCTCTCACAGCCCTAACACACTGAGCCCGGAGGTGAAGCAACCTGCCCAAGCTCACTAAACAGCAGAATGAGGATTTGAACACGTTTAACACTTTATTTCACTTTGGGCTGGAGCCTCAGTTTATCCCTCAGTGAGGCAAAGCTGTTCCCATTTTTCCCTCAACTTTCCATCTCAGGAAATGAGGTGTGAGGTAGCCACTCAGTGGAATGTGGAACTCCTAGGTAAGAAGAGCAGGTCTCTCTTCGGTCCCTCCTAGGCAGGCTTCCCAGGAAGCATCATGGCTTTCTGGCTTTGGGGAGATTCAGATTAAACTGTGAACTCCCTGGTGGGCAGAGAGGTCCCATGTTGGCGAATCTCTGTCCAAGCTATGTCTGACCCTAGGGCTAATCACAGGGTGGGGCCAACCTAACTGGGCAACAGAGATTGAGGAGAAGGGCTGAGAGTCAAGTAGGAGAGGAAAACCCTGGAGAGAGGAGAGAGAAAGACTGAAGACAGCAAGGAAAAAAGATTAGAGAGGAAGGAAAGGCCTCAGAAGCAAAACTAGCAAACCTCCCAGGCAGCCAACGGCCCTGCAGACAGATGCTGTGAGTTGGAGCCCCCTCTAGTGGTCACCTTTGTACAGCCTGCTAAGGGTAAGAGGACCTTACACTACCCCAGGGAAGCCAGCGGGTAATAGCAACAACCAGATCCCCACAAAGGAGCCGTACAGACAGCCTTCAGGAGGAAAGTGCTCTTCTCAGTGTCACACGGAAAGGCGTAAGGAGTTCCCAAGCTTCCTTGACCTGGGACTTCTTCTCATTTGCTTGGAATGACTTCTCCCCTCCTTCACACCCATATCACTGTGTTATTCCGCAGAGCAAGATGTGACAATATGTACACTATGTCAGTGGCATAAAGAGCCAAAACGCCAAAGATCTCTGGAGACCATCAAGGTGCTTGTTCGTTAGTCTGTCTACTCAATAAACACACGCTGAATGTCCAGTGTGTGTGTGTGTGTGTGTGTGTGTGTGTGTGTGTGTGTGTATCAAACTGCACGCCCTGAGGGCACAGCGAAGACAGGCAAGAGCTAGGTTGTGAAGGCAGGGTGGGGCCAGCCTAGGCTATGCTGTGAGACCCTGTCCAAAACAAAAAGAGGAGCAGTGGGGAACCAGGTGTGTTGGTACAGGTAATCCCAGAACTCAGGAGCGGGAGCAGGAGGATCAGTAGTTCAAGGTCAGACTAGGCAAAACAAAACCTCGTTTCAAAAAAGTAGTGGTGATGTATACCTGTAACCCCAGCACTTATGAAGTAGAAGCAGGAAGACTAATTCAATCATTCAAGGCTAAATTGGGCCATATAGCAAGAGCCTGATCATGAAATAAAAAGACGAGGAGTCGACGTCCTGTGGCCTCTGAGTCGAGAGGTAGCGCCACTGTCTCCATGCCGCTGGGCTCCCCTCTACAATAGTGGACTGGACCTCTGAAACTACCGCTGGGGATGCCTGAGAAGCCTGAACCAGGATAAAAGTCAGAGCTCCGGAACTGGGGAGGATGACGAGCACTTCAGGTTTCCAGGACAAATGCCGTGCAGCAAAGGCCACACATGTACTCAGTATTTGCTAAGTATTCATGGGATAAGGACAGAAGTCACCGAGCTTCACAACCTGAGTTTGACCCTCATGACCCACACGGGACAAAGAGAACTGACCCCTGAAATTTGCCCTCTGACCTCCACACGGAGGCGTGGGACCCATGCAACACACCCCATCAAAACCAACAAATAAAACGTAACGAAATTTTAAAAAGAAAGAAAGAGAAAGAAAAAGACTAGGGATGGCTCTCAGTAGTAGATTATTTACCCAGCATGCTCAGGGCCTAGCCTGGGTTCCCAGTAAGTAGGAGTACAGTGGATGGTGCACAAATACTTGAAAAGGTCATTTTCGGATTGGGAGGGAGGGGAAGGACGTGGTCTGACAAGGAAAGTTTGTGTGGACACCACCAAGGAGGATGCGGAAGGGAAGTGAGCAGAGGGGGTTCAGGCAAAGGCTCAGCTTGTACAGAAGCTGGGGCAGTGGGAGTGTAGCATGGTGAGTGCATGGATGGAAGGACAGTGTGGTCGGAGTTTGACAGCGAAAGAAAACTGAGATCAGCTACAGGAAGGACTGTGGACTGTACAGGACAAGGCTTTGGATTTGCTGCTGAGGACCAAGTCAGCCATCCTACAGCTTTGGGGGTGGATATGTCCTGTGCAGATTTACAGCGACTGTCTGATTAGTTGACCAATTCCTGAATAGGCCTGGTTAGCCGGGAACTCCCTGACCAGGCTGACCTTGAACTTTGGGACCGTCCTGCCTCTGCTCCCAAGAGTCAAGCACTGTGAATACTTGTTTGTTTCCTTTCTTTTTAAAGAGACTCCTACATAGCCCAAGCTGGACCTGTACTAGGTAGCCAAGGAGGACCTTGAATTCCTAATTCTCTTGCAACTACCTTGCAAGTGCTTTATGATGGTTATTTACTTGTTACATTTTAAAGACTTATTTGTTACTTATTTTTGGCTGGGCTCAAACTTAGAAGCAGAACTCACTCAGCGAGGACAGACTACATACATCTCTTGGCAATCGGCTCCTGGAGGTTTTCTTTGGCTTCCTTCATTCTCTTGGCCGAAAGTTTAGCATATTCTGCAGCCTCCTGCTTATTTTTCTTAGTGCGTTGATTCTTCAGAGCAATAGGCCAGTGTTTGTGTTGCAGGACACATGGAGTAACAAGACACTGAGTCTTGGGTAGTTTGGTCCTGCGCTTCTTCCCTTCTTGGTATAAGGGCTTTTTGATTATCATTTTGATGGGTTTCACCTTCTTTAGAGAGGTTGAAAAGATTTTGGATTTTGCTAGCTCTTTTGGTCTCCAACCTCTGAGGCATAGTGACACATGTCAGTTAAGGAAATATCCTTCTCTCCCTGTAATGACAAAATGGTGCAGTTTCCCCGAGGGGCAGTAGCAGGTCACTGCAGGTAGGAGAACACAGCGGGCCAGAGGGGCAGCCGGTTTCACCACCTGAGACCTCTGTGGGTCCCAGGCTGGTGGGAGGTGGTAAGTGGCTCCCACAAGGAGCCATGGTGGGTGGGTGAGAGACAGAGATGGATAGGCACACCATGCAGAGTGAGTGGGTTACGGAGGGGAAAGAGGAAAAGGGGAGAAGAAGGAAGAGCAGAGAGAGGGAGAGGGGGGAAAACAGGGAGAAAGGGGAAGGGGGTGAGAGGAGAGGAGAAACTACCTCTTCCGCATGGAAAAGAGAGAACTCAAGCTGGAAACAGAAGGAAGATCCGATCCTTTTGAGGGGAGGGAGTGGGCAGA